CTTAATCATTAAATTCAAAGTTTATCACAAGTCATTTCATGAGTGAACTCACCATATTTTGATATAAGGAACTTGCAACGAAAAATTGTCTGTAAAGAAGTACATTAGGTATGGTGTGAAGCTCTTGAATGCCCGATTAAAATCTTAAAAGGATATATTATTTTAAAGTGAGAAAGTTTTTTATATGATTAAAGGTATTTTATATAAGAAAATTTTATTGGCAATGAGTTGAATTAATTAAAAAGTATTTTGTAATCCAATTTAAAGGATCCAAGTCTGCCAATCAAATTATATAGTGATGAATATATATGTGGCTTAAAACATAATCTATTTCTCATTTCTATAGGAGATATAAGATTAATGAGGATTGGACTACATGATAATTGTTCATGAAAAGTTTGACTTATGGGTAATATTGATAAAAGGAAAGTTGTTCATATATGAATCATTGTCAAATGTATTAGTCATTGGTATAGTATTGTCAGTTTCCGTAAGTTTCATGTTTTAAAGTTAAAACTTGATGACATTTGATAGTGAGCCTAAAGGAACACACACATATGAAAAGCTTTCTTAAAATAAGAGTAAAGAAAAAATGTTTATTTCATATGAAATTAATGTAATAGATAGTAAATCAATAGTAAACATCTTAATGTATCATTTCATGATCAATTAGAAGTGTTACCCATGGATGTTATTTTATTTGTAAAATAAAATAAATTAAATATCATAATTAGTTAGGACATAATCATTTAGGAAGTTAATTGTTCTAAAAATAAGTGACAGGACAAATGTACAATCACAAGTTTTCTGAGAAAGAAACAAAGAACATAGAAGGGAAAAGTGTCCCCAAGAAAAGGGAAAAGCCCTTAACAATTCTTATCCTCCTCATGTTACGGTTTGAGAGGAAAACCATAAGGTTTTTTCTTCCTCAGTTTCTTATTTGATATGGCTATTATTGACTCTCCACCTAATTTTTATATAGTCTCTCTTATCTCTCTTTTTCTGACCCTTAGCCAGCCAAAATTGAATAAAAAATGAGGTCTTCTTATACAATCCTGAAGAAATAACAGGAGAGAAGAAAAATACTAAAACGACCCAATTGTTTTATTTGTTTGCTATGGTAAAAAATTATCAAACATGTCAGTTTGATCCCTTAGACTCAAACACCTTTTTGTTCATGTGAATACCTTGGAGATAGCTTAGTAAAGCTTTTGTCTCAAAGTTTGTAGAAGTTTTTGGTCCTTCAAGCATTCAGGTGGGATTGTTAAAATTTTCTTTATTCAAGTTCATACTAAGTTAAATAATTTTATCAAGACAAAAATTTAATATCTCAATATTAACGTTCATGATATCATGAAAATGGAAAAGAAAAATTAAGAAAAAGTATCAATATGATGAAGTATAATAAAATAAAAAAGACTAAAATGAAATAAATAATCAACAACCAAAGCAAAAAACCTATACCTGTCATTTTGCTCGAATCCCTACTAAAGTCGCAAGGCTACTACCATTGTGATGCATAGCTAAATACTCTAAAAATAAATTGTGTTAGTACAAAGGATGAATAGTCACTAATCCATTTAAAGTAGGATTAGACACTAACAACACATATACTACTCTAGCAAAGAGAAACTAAGTTCGGAAAATAAAATTAGATTGAAAGAGGTGAAGAACTCATCTAGTGGTATACGCTTTAGAAAAGGCTAAAAATGAAATCCAATAAATAACAGGCAAACAAACAAGGATCATGAAATACTAAGAAAATAAAATCATCGTCCAAACTAGGATCTTAACCTAAAATGCACCAATTTAAAGACTTATTCAAAGAGGTGTTAGCTATTATGAGCTAGATGGTAGCCAAAATTTGATAATAAAATCCTAATATATCTTATCTATTATCATGGTTAACATAAGCCCTTAATGGACCTCTTATTTTCTCATTTTAAACAAAATAATTAGTATGGAATAAGAAAATATGGAAATAATTACTTTACATAACAACCAACTAATGCTACCACATGCTTAAAAATTAGCTACACAAAAGGATGTATAAATTTAAACTAAATAAAAGTAAAATCATGTTAGAACGTGAGAAAATTATAGAATTATAATGTGTTCAAAATATGCAGTAGAAGATATAAACTAATCTAATCTAATTAATTTGCACTTTAAATATTATATTGTAGGTTAAAAATCAAATACAAAATATATCTGGCAGTGAGTTCTCAAATTAAAATTCTTTAAAAATATGAAAACTTTATACGTATTCACATCGAAATTGATATTTATTAATAAATTTTTTAATTAAAGGAACACGTACATAAATTAAATAATATTTGTGTTAAAATTTTCTTACAAAATTTTAAGAAAAGTGAAAATTCCCTCAATTTTTCTTTTTTCTTTTGGTGTGGGGTTACAGGTTTTTTTTCTTCTCTTAATTTTTGCAATCCCACACATATGTATAATTGTCAAGTCCGTTTGGACTTCTTCCTGTACACGTCCAAATTAATTTGGACTTATCCTCCCTTTTTTTTCAACACCCAATTGTATATATCTCATGTATAATTGTCAAGTCCTTTTAGATTTCTTCTTATACACGTCCAAATCAATTTGGACTCATTTTTTTAGCACTCAATTATATACATATATCTCATATATATATATATATATATGTTGGCTGCACTCATTTTTTAAGCACTCAATTACATACATATATCTCATATATATGTATCTATAAATATATATATATATATATGTTGGTTGCACTCATTTTCTTAGCACTCAATTATATACATATATCTCATATATATATATATATATATATTGGCTGCAGAGCTGGGTTTATAACCCAATTATAAATACATATATATCTCAGATATATACGTTGCTTATTATTATTATTTAATAAAATAATTTTATAAATCAATTTAATTTTAAATTAAATTTTACAATAATTTCTATTATTATAATAGTTACACATATTATATTATTATATTAATAATATAATAATTAAAAAATATAAATATTAATTTTTTATTTTTAAAATAAAAAAATTCAATTTATCTTCTTATATTTTTTGTACTAATAAAAAATATAATAATATTATATTTTGATAAAAATTTATATATATATATGACTAAATTAAATTCTTAAATTTAATTATTAAATAATTAAAATAATTAATTTATTTAGTAAAAGTTAGAATACTCGTTAATGTACAACCTCATATATTCAATACTAAACCGATAGTAAATTAATCAAACTAATTTATTAATCAAGGTTAGCATCTAATAATACTTCTTAATGACCGGATAACATGAAATGTACAATTATTTTTAAGAACATACTAACTTGAACTAATATACACTAGAGGATGTGAATTGAGATGAGTTTCATAAACTCAATAAGAATAGAGTAGTGTCAAAAATAGAAATATATAAATTTTATCAAATAAAATCCAAAATTAAACAACAATCATAACCATCATCCTTTTTTTTTTTTACTTAAAAACATTTATATTCCTTTCTCTTACTAGCAATCATTCATATACATAACATTAAGATATCATTACAATCATTGCGAAAGACACAATCAACATGCATCTCAATAAATGTAATACTTGGGTTTCTTATAATTTCACCAAAACCAGGGTTACTTATCATTTCCATTTCCATCAAATATTATAATTTTC